ACTACACCCCCAGCCCTTTTTACTTTTTATTTTGAGACAGGATCCCCTTAAGTTTCTCAGGCTGACCTCAAACTTGCGACCCTCTTGTCTCAGCCTCTTGAGTAGCAGGGATTATAGGTGTGTGCCACCACACCCAGCTAAAAAAAACCCTCTAAGCAGCTATTAGAATATTCCAAGAAGTAAAGCTACTCTTGAAACATAGGAAGTATAGAAGTATAGACAGGATTAAATAAATAAAAACAGGAGACATAAAGAACAAAAACAAATAGGAATTTTAGTGAAAATACAGTAACTGAAATAAAATGGAAATAAGAAGGACAATTGGGGGGTGGGTAATTGGGGATTGAACTCAAGGGCACTTGACCACTGAGCCACATCTTCAGCCCTATTTTGTCTTTCATTTAAAGACGGGGTCTCACTGAGTTGCTTAGCGCTTTGCTTTTGCAGAGGCTGACTTTGAACTCTTGATCTTCCTGTGCCAGCCTCCTGAGCCACTGGGATTACAGGCCTGCACCACCACGCCCAGCAACAGTTCTTTAAATTGAAGTTTTTGTTGGATGTGTTTTCATCTTGAAAAACCTCCACAGTAGCCTATTGGGTATGGAGCTGTGGGTGCCAGTCTCGCCTTCACAGATTGGGGGTGTAGCCACCAGCGAACAACTATCCCCTGGGCAGCGGCTCCCATGGAAAGTGTGGGACTGGGCCAGCATTTATTAGTTTGGAGCTTCTCATTTTTTGTGTGTGTACATCAAATTGTTGCTGGAATTGTTTTGGGGGTTTTTGTTTTGTTTTTGTTCGTCTTTTTTGTTGTTGTTGTTGTTGTTGTTTTGCTTCTAAAGAGTCACAGAAGTACAGGAGTGTACCACAGTCCATGTGTCCATTCTCAATCGTCACCATATGGCAGCCTTCCATCCCACATACCTCATCCATGGATCCCCAACTCATTGAGTAGAACAGTTCATTTATCCTGAATTTGTCTCTATCTCTAAGGAATAGGGACTTTTCCCCCTTACATGGCCATGTGACCAGTGAAACAGGTGGAAAGTGACACTAACTTCTGAATGTCATCTAGCATCCGAGTGGTCTCAGCATTTAAATAGTGACTCGTACTCACATAGTSATTGCACATATGTCTCTGATAGTGTCTGTTTGCCCTTCTGTTTTTCCACTTGCTGAGGAAGCAGGCCACTTGTCTTATAGAACCACCACACTCTGGGTGACCTGGAAGAACACTCATTCCTTAGGGTGTCTCACTGTCCATGGGAACTGAGGTCGCTGAACTTTAAGGCCACAAGAGGTGAATTTCTTGGTAATTTAGCTACTGTCTTATTATACATTGAGGATCTTGGTTTCATTTCGTTAGGTTTTTAGGGCTTTTCTAAAATACTGAGAACTTTTATGAATTTCCTAAGTCAGAACTATTAAACACAGTTTATTAAAGAAGACAGTTCCTCAACTCACCATCTCTGCTCCTTTCCTTCTCCGTAGGGAGGTGGCCAGTTTTGTTAGTTTTTGGCCTATTCTTCCATAGTTTTATGCRTATGAATACATATGTCCTCCTTGGGTGACACTAACATGCCTTGCACCTGGCTTAGTTCCTTGCTGTTCACAGAGCAGCAGACAACGTAGAGATCTTACTGCTTCTGTGGATGAAGATGCTCACGCCCACATGTTGGCTTTGCCCCTCCAGACAGTGTTGAGATCCCCCCAGTTATCGGGACTCATTTCAGCTTTTAAAACTTATTCTTCAGTATTAGAATTTTGTTTCTCACAGTTAGAATTTCTCAGTGGGTAGCTCTAAAATGTGCTAAAGGACATAAACACATCAGTTTAGTGTTGGGGCAATTAAAGAAACTAGGGAGTGAAAGTGGAATGGTAATGTTGGCAGACGTGACCATGTCTCTGGAACCCGCCTGGCTGGGTGTTCCTGCTGCGCTGTGGAGGCTGGCTGGAAGGAGTCTTCCTGTTCTGCAGCACTGTTGCATATGCTGGGTTGAAAGGCTGTGGTCACATGATTTTATTTGGTTTATTTTATTAGTTGGAATCAAGGACACATCAACTTTTAGTTCATTTTCTCATTGAGCTGCTAGAACAGAATCTTGGACCCTTAGAGTTGAAAAGGATCTGATGGGCCCTTCCCTCCCCTGCCATTTTCCAGGTGAAAAGCTGGGGCTGGGCATGGAGAAGTGGCTGAGTTCACCCACTGGGGTGCTCTGGCTCCCAGGTTCCCACTGCCAGGTGGTGGCCTCCGCCCTTGCTGTCCACGGGTGCCCTTCCTGTGGGCCTGTTGCAGTGCTGGTGAGCTGCCCCAGAAGCACCAGCACCTGGAGTTAACGACGCCCCTTCTGGTGCTGAGGGCCATGTCCCCATCAGGTTCCGTGGTTCTGTRATGGTTGGCCTTGTTGGCGTCCATCTGACAGTGAGCTAGGTACAGGGAGGTGGTGTGGGTGCCCCACCTGCCGTCAGCCTGGCCACCTGTTTTTCCAATCAGCTCTTTGACTTTGCCATGGACTACAAGACTGACTTTGTTTCCCAACTTTCTCACTTAGTTGCTTATTCTAAAAAATGTTAGTCATGCTTAGAAAAAGAAGAAAGAAGGCTCCACCTCCTTCTACATTTCAGTGAAGCAGAAATGCTGCTCAGGGCCAAGGGATCAGCTAGAGAGTCCATCAGGTCGTTACCAACCGTGAACACTCCTTCCTAACACCAGAGGGTCTTAGGCATGTTGGACAGATTTGGAGAAAACGTCAGGTGGTCTGCTTTCTTTGGTCAGGCTAGAAGTTTGACTCCTGATCCTCCTGGTGGAGCACCTTCAGTCTTCAAGGGAGATGGGTTTTTGTTGCGCACCACCCTTTACTGTGGATCGGGGCTGTGCTTTCTGCAGGGAGCCACGTGCTGATTTCCCACGTGCTGCGGAAGAGCAAGAGCCTGGGTGTCTCTGTCATTTCTGTGTTCCCTGGTGGGCTTTTCCTTTTTTTTTTTTTTTTAAGAGCAGTTTTAGGGGCTGGAACTGTAGCTTAGTGGCACAGTGTTTGCCTCGCGCACATGAGGCACTGGGTTAGAAACAAAGACATGCTATCCATCTGTAACTACAAAAAAAAAAAGAAAACAGCAGGGGTGGGGCTCAGTGGTAGAGCACTTGCCTCGCACATGTGAGTCACTGGGTTCAATCCTCAGCACCACATAAAAATAAATAATAAAGATATTAAAAATGTCTACATATAACAGACAAAAGAGCAATGTTAGGAGCACAGAAAAAGTGAGCAGAAAGGCCAGCGACACCTCACATGCTCTCCTGAGCCTCCCCTCTGTGGGCACCCCTTGGTACATCCCCCAATCCCTCCGCCAGTTTTTGAGCTGAATTTTCCAACTCTTAAGAAAGGACATTCTACAGGGTTTYTTATTGTTATTAAATGAGGATATATCCGTAGGAACCAGAGCCTTTGAGCAGTTTCTGGGGGAATCAGAGAGACACACCTGGCAGAGATGTCGTGCCTGAGGGTTTCCTCCTGCTGTCTTTCCACTTCCCCAGTGGTGTGCTCTTGCTTGATGAATGCAGTGCACATGTGCCTGTCTCCCACAGGTGGGTCGGAAGGGGGCTTTGTGGGACAGGGTTAAGTGCACAGTAGGAGTTGGTYGCCAGTGAGCCACAGGCTTTTCAGACTTGATGCAAGTGTAAAAAGYCCTTGATTAGGTTTGTTTTGACAAAGAGGAGAAGGCCAGGAGACCTGCAGCAATTTAGTTGGCATGCAAGGGAGTGGGGATAGGAAGTTCATGAGTGTGTGTTTTTTGCAGAGGAGGAGGTGAAACCTGAGACCTTGTGCATGCTAGGCCAGTGCTCTACTACTGAGATACATCCGAGATAGAATTTATAAAAGGTTACTAAAATTAATAGAAGATGTTTTGAAGATGGTTAGGGAAGATGTCACTTGTTAATTGGGTCTCAGGTGTTCAGTGAGTTAATATACATACCTGGCTTCCAGAGTACCTGAGAAATATGATTGAGAGTTACGTTTGTTATTTATACTGCACTTTCATGTGTGTGAGTAAAATACATATAGATAGATATGGTGTGTGTGTGTGTGTGTGTGTGTGTGTATGTATATACACACACGTATAAAATTTTTTGAAAATATTTATTTTTTAGTTATAGGTAGACACAATGTCTTTATTTTACTTTATGTGGTGGTGAGTATCAAACCCAGGGCCTCACACATGCTAGGAGAGCACTCTGCCTCTGAGCCACAACTCCAGCCCAAGTGTGTGTGTGTGTGTGAATGTTTATTTATTTACTGAATATTTTTTTTAGCTGTTGATGGACCTTTATCTTATTTATTTGTATGTGGTGCCGAGAATCAAACCCAGTGCCTTACACATGCTAAGCAAGTGCTCTACCACTGAGCCACAACCCCAGCCCTATATATTTATATATACACATTTTGGGCAAGGGGTGTTGGAGACTGAACCCAGAGGAGCTCCCTCACTGAGCCACATCCCCAACACATTTCTGTTTTTTATTTTGAGACAGGGTCTTGCTTACTTGCTCAGACTGGCCTTGAATTTGCAATCCTCCTGCCTCAGCCTCCTGAGTAACTGGAATGGGTGTGTGCCTTCGTGTCCTGCTCAAAGATAATCTTTTTAACTCTGTTTTGATATAATTCAAGACTTGCAGAAGTTGCAGAAAGAATACTCAGGGGGCTGGGGATGTGGCTCAGCGGTAGCGCGCTCGCCTGGCATGCGTGCGGCCCGGGTTCGATCCTCAGCACCACATACCAACAAAGATGTTGTGTCCGCCGAGAACTAAAATAAATAAATATTTAAAAATCTCTCTCTCCCTTTCTCTCTCTCTCTCTCTCATCTCTCATCTCTCATCTCTCATCTCTCTCTCTCTCTTTAAAAAAAAAAGAAGACTCGGGTTCCCATGTGCCTGATGGTTGTTTTTTACATTGTTTTAATAATACCTAAAGTAGCAATTCTCTGCTGTGTTTTGTTTTATTTAGCATTTTCTTCATTTTTAACGGAGGAGGAATGGGGGAGATAGAAGGAACGTACAGAGTCCTGCAGTCTGCAGGGATACGCTTGAGTACCCAGACCCCCATGGGAGTGAGCACCCTCGAACCAGGGCAGAAGTTGTCACCCAGAATGCAGGAGAAGCACCTGCACATCAGAGTGAAGCTGCTGGACAACACTGTGGAGACGTTTGACACCGAGGTAAGGGGTGTATGTCGGAGGCCTTCTTAGGCCAGTGCTGGTCAGCTCTGCTCTGCTGTTCTGTTGGTGTATTTGTTTGTCTTGCCATATTGGGGATTGAACCCAGAAGCACTCTATCACTGAACTAGAATCCCCAGCCCTTTTTATTTTATTTTTTGAGATAGGGTCTTGCTAAGTTGCCCAGGCTTTCTCAAAGTTGGGTCCTCCTACCTCAGCCTGCTGAGACACTGGAATGATATCTCCACTAGGCCTGACTCCCCCTCCGGCCCAGTACTGGGGAGTGATCCTAGGGCATTGCACATGCGAGACAGGCACTGGGTCTTGTACATTTATCAAGCTGGCCAAGAGTGGCTTTGGTGAACACTCAGTGAAGTCCTTGGAAATACTGAAACTGAGTTTTCCTGAAGTGTGAAAGTGGTATTCTTTTTTTCTTTCAACTAAAGTTCCACTAGGATTCGGTCTTTCCACTCTCCTCTTTTGAGAGGCTGGCTAAAGAGACTGTTGAAGGGCACAGTTGCAGCCCTTAGGCTGCTCCCATGTGGACCGGTCCCACCTGGCCGCCTGGGTGGGTCACATCCACATCTGGATGCAGATTCAGCTTCTCCTCTCAGGAGGCTGGTGGGAAGTGAGAGCCCAGCATACAGGAGGTGTTATCATGGTGTTAGCATATAACTTCTTTTTCCAGGTCAGCAATAAAATTTTTTTTATTCTGAAAAAATTTCCTAATTATTGTATTGATAATGTTGGCAAAAATAACTGGACATAGTAAAAAAAATTATATATATACATATGTACTTAAGTAACACATATATATGTAAATATTTTATTTTTATACACACACACACACACACAAACACACTTCAGTAACACTGTTTTCTTTTCCTTTTGAGGGGCGTGTGATACTGGGGATTGAACCCAGGTATACTGTACCACTGATTTATATCCCAGCCCTTTTTTATTTTGAGACAGGGTCTTGCTAAGTTGCCCAAGCTGGCCTCAAATTTGTAATCCTCCTGCCTCAGCCTCCCAGATCAATGGGATTACAGGCATGTGCCACTGYGCCCTGCTTACTGTTTTCTTTTGGACCCATATGGTATGTTAGAAAACATTTTCTCTGCTTTTCTAAGTGATATTAGGACAGATGTTCTTTTTTAAAATTGCTAATGTATTTTCATTTGTAATACAGAAATCCATTCTCTCTTTTCTAGTATTTGTATATTGAATTAAAGTAACATCTTTAAAAGCTTTTCCTATTTTTAATGCCACAGAAATACAAGCAAGAGAACAATCTTGACTTCTCTCAGGAGGTGTGTCTGTGCTAGAGGCGTCTATTGAGTCAGGATGCTGCACAGAAAGTCAGAGGCGGGCTGAGTTACGGTGGGCCGTGAGCAGTGCTCTACTGCAGAGAGCTGAGGCGGGGCTGGGAGGCTGGAGAGAGCCCGCAGGCTGTCCTCTGCTGGCACCTGGGCCAGTGTTCCCTGGAACCCTTCCCCTTGAGGAGTGTTGGATGRTAGGTGGCTAGTGCTGAGACTCAAGTGCTTTTCGTTTAAATTTTGTTGCTGTTTTTGATTGTTTGCTTTCAGGGTAGGGGGAGTACTGGGATTGAACCCAGGAGCATTTTACCACCGACTCTCTCCCCAGCCCTTTTTATTTTTTATTTTGAGACAGGGTTAACTAAGTGCTTAGAGCCTCACTAAATTACTGAGGCTGGCTTCGAACTTGAAATCCTCCTGCCTCAGCCTCCTGAGTCTGTGGGATTACAGGTGTGTGCCACCTTGCCTGGTGTATTAAGGTTGTATCTGGGAAGAAAACCAATCTCATTTTATTAGGGCAGTGGTGACTGTCCCATCACAAAAGTCTGCTGAATGATGACCTTTGAACTCTGGAGGCTAGCACTGGTGCACTTCCGGCAGCTCTGGGATCATTCTCCTTTGAAATAGGTCATGGGCTCCCAAATCTTAATCTTACGTATTTATTTAGTTTGGTACTGGGAATTAAATTCAGGGACATTTTACCACTGAGCCACATCCCCAGCCCTTTTTATTTTTTATTTTGAGACAGGGTCTCACTAAGTTGCATAAGGCTTCATTGAGTTGCTGAGGCTGGCCTCAAATTTGCAATCCTCCTGCCTTAGCCTCCTGAGTCACTGGGATTGCAGGCATGGCCACGACACCAGCCTCCCAAATCTTTTCCAGTCAAAATGTTTGAAAGAATTTCCACCGTTCAGCCATCCCTCTGGCAAAGGTATTTATTTACTAAGGTCTAGGCTTGATTACATGTGTGTTAAAATTTTTTTTAGAAACTGAAAGAAAAATAATTACACTATTTAGGATTTGCTTTGAAAACATCTTTTCTGTCCTGCTTAATAGTCTGTATCAACTAAAACTAGGATCTAAAAGGAAAAAGCATGCATTTATTTTTGAGTTATAAATTGAAATAATTGTTTCTATTAATTAAATATAACTATCATCTTTGGTATTTGACATACTTGACTGGTCACCAGAAACTAGAGAGTTCCCTTGGAAAAGCAGCTGTCCCCGAGCCCTGAGTTGGACAGGCACTTCTGCACTGTTACCAGCTGAGGAGCGCTGCAYGGGGAGCCAGAGCTCAGTGCGTCTTACTATAAGTCAGTCGTATTCTGCTTCCAGGTGCCTTGTCCTCCCCAGTGACAAACCACCCAAGACTTAGTGGCTTAAAGTGACAGTGACTCCCGCTCTAGCCTGTCCATCGGGTGGGGTGGCCATTGCTGGTCTGGCTGGCCATGAGGCCTGGGTGCGCCCCATACGCCTGGAGATGCTCTCAGTGCAGGAGTGGGAGCCGCAGGTGCTGAGGGGGCTCAGTGTCGAAGTCTTCAGTGTCTCTTTGATCCTGTTGAATTGGCTTCAGCAAGTTAGAGGCCTGCACAGGGTTGAGAGGTGGGGACACGGAGTCACCTGACCAGATGGCAGGAATCGGCCCTCTCCTAAGCACCCGCTGTTGCCAGTGGTACAGGAGAGCTGCTGCAGAGGCAGGGCTGGGACACTGGGTGGGCTGTCCTCAGGGTCCAAGTGCCTGTCCAGGAAGCAGGTTTGTGTCTGCCCTGGACACAGATCTCTGGGTCGAGGCGGGGTGCTGACCTGGGCCTCCRTCCCTGCCCACCATTGCTTGTCCTCAGTTTCACTTGTGCTCCTCACTGCCCTCTCCTTATGTTTGGACCAGGAGACAGGCTGTGACCAGGTGGTCCTTCTGCTGGGCTTGCAGGGCAGTGGGCAGACAGCAGTGAGACCCCTGGCTGGGCAGGTCAGTCTCCAGCAGGACGTCGTGTCCTATGGCATGTTGTCTGTCCTAGACGGCAGCCTGGGAGAGTGGGTCCACACGTGTCCTCAGTGTGGGGAGCAGTGCTGCGCTTAATCTGTGTGTGCCCAGGGAGGGACTGCAGTCAGGCCTGCTCCCTGCTTCCTGCTAGAGTGTCGTCAGTGTCTCCGCGCAGCAGTGTGCTCTCACCTCAGGGTCCAACTTTGCCCTGTTTCTAGACTTTCTGGCCTTGTGTACCTCTTTTTAGTTACACATGTCAGCAGAGTGCATCTGACATGTCATACATAYGTGGAGTGTCCCTTCCCATTCTTGTGGCTGTACATGAGGTGGAGTTTCCCKGGTCGGGTGTTCATACATGAGCGTAGGAAAGTGATGTCCCATTCGTTCTACTGTCTTTCCCATCCCCATCCCCTCCCTTTGTCTTATCCAGTGAACTTCTATTCTCTCTTCTCCACCCTCCCTTATTGTGGTTTAACATCTGCATAACAGAGAGAACATATTTGGCCTTTAGTTTTTTGGAGTTGGCTTATTTCASTTAGCATGATAGTCTCCAGTTCCATCCATTTACTGGCAAATGCCATGATTTCATTTCTGTTTATGGCTGAGTAATATTCCATTGTGTAGACATACCACATTTTCTTTATCCATTCATCTGTTGAAGGGCACCTAGATTGCCTCCATAGTTCAGTTGTTGTGTGCATGTCTTTCATGGTCTGTCTACCTGATTTTCTGTCTCTTGAGTCTTGAGCAGCCATGGTATTCTGGGGAGATGTGCTAACTTCACACTTGGACAAAATTAGCTTCACACACCAGTCAGAAGAACCAGGCTCATGTGGGATTGTACAGAACCTGCTGGTTGTTACTAAAAGTTTAGTTAAAGGCCCTTCTTTCCTCTGGGAATTACCAACATTTAGTGGTTTTTAATGCTTCTCTTTTGCTGTGGTGAAAATACAGAGTGACCTACGGCCCTCTGGGCTGGGGCTCTTGCCCCCTCTGCAGAGCGCATGGCTTCTCTGGTGTCTCCTCAGGTGTGGGAGCCTCGCTGTCCTCGCAGGGCTTCAGTAAGGCATGCTCTCAGGTCACAGTCTGCTCCTCGCTCCAGCTCCCCACGGTGAGGGCTGGGGAGGTGCGTCCCCAAGACGTACAGCAGCAGGGTGCGCACAGTTCCAGCAGATGCASCCCGCCAGGGTGCTGAGGGGCTGGCCAGGTGCAGCGGAGTGCCAGAGACGGCTTGAAGCTAAGTTCTGTTCTTTTGTGTTAGAAGGTAAAGTTGAGTGTGAGTGGGATTTTTATAACAATTTATAGAGATCAATTTGCATACTCTACAACTTACTCATAGACTGTCCAAATCAGTGGTRTTAAACAGAAATGTGCCACTTTCACAATTTTAGACCATTTTTATCTCCTCAAAAATGAACCCACACCTGTTAATCCACGTCATTCCCTGAGTTCTAGGTGAGCCGTGATCTACGCTGGTCTCTGGCCCTCCCTCTTCTGAGTGACTGCCCGAGTGGGGTCATGGTCATGTTCTTTTGGGACGGACACTTGAGACGTCCGCCCAGGTCGCGGCATGGGTGCTTGTGCCGGTGCCCATTCTTTTTCATGGCAGAAGAGTGTTCCGTGTGGATACCCAGMGTTTTGTCTGTCCTTTCCTCAGCTGATGGACGTCGTGGTGAGGGTCCATGCAGGAGGCTTGATGTGGATGT